CTCCTCAGACTGCGGCGAGTTTGACTACCTAATTTTTGGAGCTCTAAAATCTATAGTCTTTGCTAAAATAATGGATAATTCTGAAAGTAGAATCACATAACGAAATTCGGACTTTTTAGATTTTAACGCTAAAGAATGAAAAAACTAAACTTGAAATATTCAAGTCCAGAAATAACATGTTGTCTAGCGAATCAGGTCATATCTCAGGGGTATCCCTCCGTAGAGCCGAAAGTGTTTTCCAGGTCTGGACAACTTTTGCTCAAGTCAAAACGTCAAAAGACCCATTTTTCGTACAGTTTTTGCAACAAAAACGCGATTCGACGGGTTTTTCTGCGGTTTTTCGGCTGGACGCATTTGCTCGCAGTCCCACTGTACTGCTCGAATCATTCTCTGTCGAACGATGTAGAATACATCTATTTCAACCCTTTTTCTAGCAAAATTCTGCCAAAAATTCTCTATGGCAAAAACTGAAAATTGTCTCCCTATTAACTCAGCCAGTATGAGTCTGACAGTTGGGAAATTTTTATAGGATACCCGGCAAAGACAGGGGAACAAAACGTACCATTCAAATTTTTTTTATGAACACTTTCATTTTTTTTTATCGATTGTACCAGAAAGTTACGTTTCTCTCATGTGTGTCTCTCCGCTGAAAACCCAAAAGGTATTTTTCTCTTCTCATGTAATCTGTTACACGACATTCAGATCGATCCTTTCCTATTTTGCATATATAGTTCATTATATACAAAAAGGGAATCACTTCGGTCATTTGGTGCAAGTTTTTGTTTCATCAAAATACACTCTTCAGAGAGTTTTCTTGTCTTTACAAGTTGTGCTCTTTAGTGTAGTCACGAAAAAAGATAGTTTTTGTATAACCATAGCGTTGCAATTTTACGAATTTTAAAACACTAAAAACGAAGTTTTCAGACTTTGAATTAATAGCTAGTGATACTATACACTAACTTCTGAGCATTCTTTGGTATTTCCGTACAGCTCCATCCATGCACAAAGTTATTTGGGATAATCTCACTATGCCTATCTTGTAGAGATCCTCGAGTTGTATCTAAATTCATCTTTTACCTCTTAGATATTGTCAGAAACATGTTAAAAAAAGTGCCCAGTAAAGTCTATTTTTTGCCCTAAAGAGACACATGACGGTCTAATTTTTATTTTATACATTGATATTAAAATCTTTCTGACTATGTCATTAGACATCTTGTAAAAAGTTGTATATACGAAATACATTTTACTATCACAACTTTCGATGGTCATAGGATGAAAGTCAAAAAATTGTCATTTTCTACAACATTTTCATTCGTTCAATATTTCGATGAAAAAAGAAATTCCCAATATTTTATGTTCAAAATGTAACTGTTCATTCAGCCGAGACGTAGAAGAAAATCCGGACGGTCATTCAACTTGACTGTTTCCTACCACAGACTTATGTTTAAAATAACAAAGAAGAAAGAAAAGTCGCTCTCTTATTCTCTCCAAGTATATATATGTTCATCTAAGAATGGATGAACCATTACTCATTTCATTCGACAAGCTTTTTTATATATTCAGATACAGTACTATGTGTTTTATCCATGTGAGTAGTTCGCTCAGTTATTTCTCACGGAGTATTTCAACAGTAAACTTATGTTCTCTGTTACTCCTTCCATTTTAGCTCCCTCACATGCAAGTATCTGCTTCAATCATCGAACCAGTATTCATTGATAGTGACTCAACATCTCTTCAACATATTTATTCGTCAGGAAAATACTCTGATTTTGATGTTGTCTGTCTGGATGGAAAACGACTACATTTACATAAAATTATTGTATGTTTTAACTCCAAATGGTTTGAAAGGTAAAAAACTTTTTACTCCGCACTACAAGATTTATTTGTCTGCTTTTGTTCATTTAAATGTGAATAATACATCTCGTATTTGTTTTGAGTCAAGTGGAACGACATGCAAAATCCGGTACCACTAGTCCCCTTGAATTTTTTTTGAATCATTCAATCGATGAAATCGAACCATTATTTAAATTTATGTATGGTTTTAATCTAGCTGTGAATGATGATGGTGCATTCTGGAAATTAAAAAATTTATGTGAAAAATATGATGTGAAAGTATTGAAAGAAAAATTGGAAAAAGTCCTTGGTAATACAGAAAAACTTCTGATTTTGTTTCTGACTTAGATTATGTTTATTTTTGATAGATAATATTGGAAACAAAATTGAAGAAACAATCAACCAATATTGTGACTTTATAATCTGACTAATTTTTTCTATTTCGACTTTTTTTGATCAGCCACGTTAATCTTAATCAACTGTATTGGAAATCTATGGTTATTAGTTTACATCACTTCTGGAAAAACTGATGAAGTTCAAAGTTTTTAAGCTTATAATGTATTCATTCTTAAATGTTAACAAACAATATCGCTGGAACTAAGATTCGACCGCTGGCGTTAGGATCAGACAACAAGATGAAACCAACAATTAACCGAAAAAAACGAACAACGGTTAAGCAGTTAACCGGACGGTTAATGCCGGTTTACCGGTTAACCGCGGTTAATTGGACGGTTAACCTCACAATTAATTGGATGGTTAACTGCGGTTAATTGGCGGTTTGATCAACGTGGCGGTCTATATCAACAAAACCCATGTAAAATGAAACAAAAATTATTTACATCGCTTTTCATCAAAAGTATCAGTGTTATTTTTGCTAAAACGACTCTTGAGTATGACATTCATTAAGTAGTGTAAAATTTGATCAGTTTGGAGTTGTTTTAGCACAAATAACACGCACCGGTCCATCGTTTACATGCTATCCTATTCATACACGTATACGACCGCTGTAAACGGGCGAAAATGGTCGTATTTCTTTGCTGAACAGAAAATCGCGCTTATCTGAGTTGGGAAGCATTTTTCTCGGTTGAGTCTATGAGGGAAAATGTAGAAAATCCAATTCTACACCAGACTGAATACTCTTAGAAGGCTGTCACTTTGCCAAAAACGCTTCGTTTCCGAAATAAATCGTTTTTAATGTTTTTGTTATAATCGCCCATAATAATTTAGGCATAATTGTGAGAAAAAAAAAATCAGTAATTTACACGCCTTTTCAAGGTATCATTTGGGTATGAAATACGGTACATGGAGGGTCTCAACAGGCATAACTTAGTACTTAAAGTTTTGTGTCCCAGTTCATCGATGAAAAGCGAATTGTTTATCCTGCTCAACTGGTCGCTTTTTATCATATACTTGATCGATATTGAAAGCACTATTGCGATGCGCTTCTGTACGGTGGTTGAGATATTGTATCAATGCTGTTTTATATATGACACCACGTTTGTTGCTTGCAGAGGGAAAAATCACCTTTTCTTTCCTCTTAAACACAAACATTTTTGTTAGTCTTAATAATCTTCTCTCACATACATAATTTTTATAACATGCTCTCGGGGAAGCGCAAGCTTAAAAAAGCTTATAGGCGCACACCTTGAGTCTAAAGTGTGGCTCCTCCATTGAAACGTGATGGACTAAGGTGGGACTGGATGAAATCTACGTCCCAAGTGTGTATGTTTATCACAGAATATATGGATAGTTTATTAAAACACTGTTTCTGAGCAAATCTATTCTCCTTTAGCTAGTCCGCGTATACAATGTATAGTGTTCGCGTACTCAAAAACAGCTCGTGTCGCACTTTTTTTCATATTATTGCCGGTTACCGACCGGTCTATAGATTACCGCTGGTTAACCGTACCGTTCGGTATAACGACCGGTTTTTCTTCTAACGGCGGTTACCGCACGGTAGTTTTCAGACCGCGGTGCAAGAAAAAATCGTCGGTAAACCGTTTTGACACAATCACCTTTTTGTTTTGCAGTTGGCAGTCTATATGTATGTTTTCCTTCTGTCTCGCCTTTGGTTTTCTTCTTTATTATCGTCAAGAAAAGAAAAAGGAAAATATTTAACAAAAAAAAGCTTACATCTGCCCCCACGCAGGATCGAACTACGGACCTCCAGTTTACAAGACTGGCGCTCTACCACTGAGCTATAGGGGCTGTGCTAATGTTGCTTCTGAATACTATTCTATGATGAAAGAAGCACAAGTGATTTACATCTAACAGTTCTCTCCTGTTCGAAATAGTAATGATGCGCGAAGAAGTTCTTTTTACTGCAGAGATGTCAGAATATCACTACGCAGTGTATTCTCAAAAAGACACTATTTGCTGGGCTTGCTGGCCTTGGTGTATTCTCACTGCGAATACTCGAGAATACACCAGAATACGCAAAGTTATAAATATCTTTAAAATGTGCTGGGTGTAAGTGCTAGTTCCCCTGGAAAAAATAGATTTATGTGTGATGGATAAGTTCTTTTAAGAGAGATTATTCGTTTTGTTTCCTAAGGTAAAGGTGAATAAAATTTTACTATTTGGTTTGTTTGGGAATGTGACTTGGTTTCTGGAGAAAATATATGGTAAATATGTTGTTGTTAAAGTGTGTTGGAACATAGCGAAATCTCTCGTGCATTGGTGTGGTGTTTTTGTGGAGTCTTACTCTAGAAATTTTGTTATTTGTCCATTAAAACGATTGCGTGCCTTATTGATGACAAAGTGTCCTTTGTTTCTTTCTAACGTGTTCAAACAGCAGAATCGACTTGACGGGTTTGCGAACGAAAGTGGATGCACTCTCTGGTATACGCTTCTATAAATCTCGGAGTTTATATTTACTACTTTATTCAAGTAAAAAGTAACACACTGATATATAGATATCCATTGAGAAAAGTGCTCTGTCTGCCAGTGAAGACTCAAGAATTAAGTTACTTTTTCGTTAGTAAATAAAAGTAAGATGCCATCTCTATTCTATCTAAATTTCTGTTTATGTTTAATCCAAAGCATACACATACGTTTTGCCATGGAAGGGTACATTTTGTTTTAAATTAGAAACACTGGCATGTTCAGTTTTACTTCGATGTCAACTGATATTTAGTAAAGCTACCAGAAACCAACCTGAAAAGTTCTAGTTGTTTGTATCTATTTTGTGATCATATCCGTGTTGAATAGAACTTATTTGGCACTAGCGAGGATATGAACAGAATTTGGATAAAAATTTAATGCGTGTGTGTATTAGGTATGAGTTCCATTTTGATTTTGGTAAGTCTGATTTATCTGCTCATAGCAAGTACGACAGAAGAACTTTATTTTGTTTTCGTTGCTTGTTCGGCATTGCAGTTTACCTATTGTACGTCCTAACTTTGTTTCCTTCACGTTATTTGTATTTTCAGGTTATTACTGTGATCTGTACGTAATTGTTTCGTTATTATTCTTTGTGCCGTCGATCATATTTATGTCATTTGATTACTAATAGAATGTCGAGTCGTTTAAAACTTGATCTGGCTATGGCGTCGGCGTTACATATTCGCAATTTTGGTCGAGCGTGTGAATTTCTTCGTGGGACATACTGCCACTGTTGAATTAGTATCCGTAACTACTTTACGTTTGCAAATAGAAGAAATTCAAAGTTCATATCAACAATTGGAGAAAAAATTAATTGAATACAAAAATGTACATTTAAAATTGCAGACTATGTGTAGAGAAGAACAGAATATTAAATAATTTTTTTTAGTTGTACATCATCAAAAATAAGATTAGATACGTTAGATTCAAAATTAGAAGAATTACGACAATCTATAATTATTGAACAACGAAATATTGATTATTTTGAATCAGATAGTAAATTAATTAATACATTGACAATTACATATAATGAATTAAAACAACAAGTAACAAAAAATATATCTCAT